AGACACTTGTCACTGGATATAGGACCCACCTGGATAACCCAGGGTGCTCTCATCTCAAGATCCTCCACTTGATTACCTTCGCAAAGACCCTTTTTCCAGATAAGGTAACAGTCACGGATTCTAGGGATTAGGGCATGCACACATCTTTTTGGGAGCTACCACTCAAGCTACTTCAAGCCACTGTTATATTCAGAGTCCCCTTTGTGTCAGATACTGGGTACACTCGTGTTCCTCTCAGCAGCCCTGTGAGACCACAGGATGTGCTCCTCATGGAGAAACCAAGGCACAGAATGGCAAAGAAACGTACTCTGGAGCTACCAGGCTGGTCAGTAGGAGACGCAGATCTTGGGACTGAAATCCTCACTGCCACTGTGCTATAGGGACGCTGTCCCAGGGCCCAGCAGAGAGCAGGTCCCAGGAGGAGCTGAATCTCCTTTTCACAGGCTCATTTCCAAGCTGGCTGTGTTTCGTCCACAGGTGGAATTCTGCGTGAACTCCTAAGCCAAGTAGTTAATTATGGCATTATGATTTGATGACCCTCAATTAGAGGGAGCCAGCCACTTGGACCGAACTGTAACTGTTTCCTGGATCCCAACACAAGAATGGCTCCTCTGTCATCGGTGGGGGTAGGGAATAAAAGCAGAAGGGGAAGTAACTAAATCCCATGGGTCAGTTGTTGGGATGTTCTAGAGTATCACAGAAAAGCCTTAGTCTAGGTGCTAACCTTTAAATCTTCCTCAGTTATTCTAAAAGAGAAAACACCAATGTAAAAGATTGGTATGCTCTTATATAAGTGTTTATCTGAATATTAGTTAATCCATAGCAACTGTTTTTCATCCATTCATGTATTCAACACCTGCTGAGCCATGTCTGTGTGTGTGTGTGCATGTGTGTGCACGCACATAGGTATATATGTATGCGTATATGGGTATATATGCGTGTATAGGTATATATGTATGCGTATGTATATGGGTCTTAGTCTGGGCTGCTGTAACAAAGTACCATAGACCAAGTGGCTTATAAACAACTGAAATTTATTTCTCATAGTGCTGGAGGCTGGACATACAAGATCAGGGGCCAGCAAGGTTGGGTTCTGGGGAGGGCCCTCTGCAGGCTTGCAGATGGCCAGCTTCTAGCTGAACTCTCACAAGAGGACAAGAGAGCTCTCTGGGGTCCCTTCCATAAGAGCATTCGTCCCATTCACAGGGCTTTACCCTTCACAACCCAATCAGCTCCCAAAGGCCCCACCTCCTAACACCACCACACTGGGAATGGGGATTTCAACATATGGCTTTTAGGGAGACACAGATGTGCAGTCCATTGCAGCATGTGTGTGTGCATATGTGTGTGTGTGTGTGTGTGTGTGTGTGTGTGTGTGTGTGTGTGTGTGTTTCTCCTGCTGCCCAGTAGTCCCCGGGCCATCTCAGAACACGTCCTGGCCGTCTGTCCTCTCCCGGAACAGTCTGTGTATAACCACGATGGAAAAACGCTGAAATCACACGGAGTGTTAGGGAAAAGAACTGGGTGGTGTGTGGCCCTGAATGCCTCGGTGGGGTTGGGAACCCCAAGTGCTTGGCTTTTAGACCCCCACGTTGAAGAGGAGAGGGAGGTGTTGCAACAGGGGGTCACCAGCCTGCCCCTGCTTCCTGGCATCTAAGAATTTCCTTTCCCAGATCTGAACATCCGGCTGATTTGATCTTTTCCTTACGTGTCTGTGAAGGACTGGGAGAAGCATTTTCTGGACGCCAGCGCCAGCAAGCCGAGCGACTGGAACGCCGAGCTGGATGGGGACTGGCAGGCCGCGATGCTCCAGAAGCCCCCGTACCACGTGGGTGTCATCTTCCCATGATGCCCCGGGACGCCCTCGGATGCCCCTCCCCTTGTCATTGAGACCACCCCTATATGTTTGTTTATTTATTTTAGAGACAGAGTCTCGTTCTGTCACCCAGGCTGGAGTGCAGCGGAGCTGTCACAGCTAACTGCAGCCTTGAAATCCCAGGCTCGAGCCATCCTTCTGCCGCAGCCTCCCAAAGTGCTGGGACTACAGGCATGAGGCACTGCACCCAGCAGATTTTTAAAAAAAAATTTTTTTTTATTGGGGGGGTGTCTCACTATGTTGCCCAGCTGGTCTTCAACTCCTGGCCTCAAGCAATGCTCCCCCCTCAACCTCCCAAGTGCTGGGATTACAGGTGTGAGCCACCGCGCCCAGCTGAGATCACCTTATATGGTTTATTTGTTGCAGGATGGCCTGAAACCGGAGGGTATTGATAAAGACATTTGGCTTCACCAGAAAATGAAAAGCACCAACTATTTGACACAATACGACCTCTCAGAGTTTGAGAACATTGGCGCCATCGGACTGGAGCTCTGGCAGGTCACTCGGTTTTGAATTTGCTTTTTAGCTTAATCTCTCTAAACTTTAGTCTGAATGCCTTAATTCACATCACTGCTATGTGTTGAGCATCTGCTGTGTGCCAGACACAGCCACACCCGGACCCTAGGGATAGAGCTGTTGTTCCAACCTTTCTGCCCTCTTGTTACTCACCTTCCACACTGCATCGGGACACGCCACTCCCCTGCTTGGAGCTGACACATCGCGCCCATCTGCTTTAGGGTAAGAGGGCAGATTCTGACGCAGCAGTTGCAGGGCAGGGCCTGAGATTCCGCATTCCCACCAAGCTCCCAGGCAATGCTTACGCTGCTGGCCCATCGCCCACGGGAACCTTCTGGAACAGTGCTCCTCAAACATCACTGCTGAATGTTCAAGTTACTGGGGAGCTTGCTTTGTTTTTTTTTTGGAGACAGGGTCTTGCTCTGTCACCCAGCCTGGAGTGCAGTGGTGTTGTCATCATAGCTCACCATAACCTTGAACTCCTGGCCTCAAGTGAGAGTTCTCCGCCCACCTCGGCCTCCCAAAGCTCTGGGGTTACAGGTGTGAGCCACCACACCTGGCCACCTGGCCACTGAGGAGCTTTTCAGAGTCTTCATGCCCAGGGTAAATCAGCATCCCCAGGAGAAGACAAGGCCTTGGGAGTTTTTTAAATGCTCTTGGTGATCGCGTTGTGCAGCCAAGTTCGAGAACCAGTGCCCTAGAGGGAACAGACATTCTGGAGATGGGTTTAAGCACTGTCTACCGTTGCGAGCTAGTCAGTGTTACCGCACCAAGTTTCTTTGCGGAAAGTTGTTACACGTCTCGCATCAATAATGAAGGCCTTATTTCCATCTGCAGGTGAGATCTGGAACCATCTTTGATAACTTCTTGATCACGGACGATGAGGGGTACGCTGAGCATTTTGGCAAGGCCACCTGGGGCGAAACCAAGGTATGGTACACACAAGTAACAATCTTTTGTCGTTCATTGATTTTTGGAACCGTTGTCCTGAAGTCTAACGTATGGGAAAGGGCTTGATGCATTTTCACAATGAACCCCACGCCCAGCTCAAAATACAGGATGTTACCAGCTCTGCAGAAGCCTCCATACTCCACCCCCCAAAGCAAACACTGTTTCATCACCATAGATTAACTTAACCTATGTTTGAAATTCATATAAATGGAGCCATCCAGTATTTTACTCTTTGAGACAGTGTTGTGAGATTCATCGATAATAGTATGTGTGGCAATAGCTGGTTCTTACTGTGTGAATGTTCCAGAATGCTTATATCCATCTTCTGTTGATGCAGCTTTGGGTTGCTGCCAGTTTGGGGCCTTATGAAAAAAGCCCCCAATATTCTAGTTAAAAAGGAAAAAAAAGGCCGGGCACGGTGGCTCACGCCTGTAATCCCAGCACTCTGGGAGGCCAAGGCGGGCTGATTGTTTGAGCTCAGGAGTTCGAGACCAGCCTGAGCAAGAGCGAGACCCCGTCTCTAATAAAAATAGAAAGAAATTATTTGGACAACTAAAAATATATAGAAAAAATTAGCCGGGCATGGTGGCGCATGCCTGTAATCCCAGCTACTCGGGAGGCTGAGGCAGTAGGATCACTTGAGCCCAGGAGTTTGAGGTTGCTGTGAGCTAGGCTGATGCCACGGCACTCACTCTAGCCAGGGCAACAGAGTGAGACTCTGTCTCAAAAAAAAAAAAAAAAAAGGAAAAGGAAAAAGCTGTTAGAACATTCTTGCATATGTCTTTCAGAGGAAACATGCCCAGGAGTGGAACTGCTGGGTCATGTGTCCAACGTAGCCAGTTTTCAGTGTGGTCGTGTATCTTACATTCCCTCCTGTAGTGGGTGAGAGTTTCAATTATGCCACATCTTTGGCAATAAGTACCTGGTATTATCATGTCATCGTTAAGTCAGATTAATTCAAATACAGTTTACACACTATAAAATCAGGTGAACAATTCTATGAATTTTGAGATATGCATATAGTTGTGAAACTGCCATCCAAAAATCAAAATATAGAACAGTTCCATTGCCCCAAAGTGTCCTCGGGCCCCTTTGTGGGCCAGCCCTCTCACACCACTGGCAACCACTGTTCTGATATCTGTCCTTATAGTCTTGCCTTTTCCGGAATGTCATATAAGTGGACTCATACATGGGTGGTCTTTTTTTTTTTTTAAGTGAAAGGGTCTCACTCTGTCACCCAGGCTGGAGTGCAGTGGCATCATCATAGCTCACTGCAGCCTCCAACTCCTGGGCTCAAGTGATCCTCTTGCCTTAGCCTCGAAAGTGGCTGGGACTACAGGCACATACCACTAAGCCTGACTAATTTTTTTTATTTTTTGTAGAGATGGGGTCTCAATAAGTTGTCCAGCTTGAACTCCTGGGCTCAAGTGATCCTCCTGCCTCAGCCTCCCCAGTAGCTGGGACTATAGGCACAGACCACACCACACCCAGCTCCATGTGTGGTCTTTTTGAGCCTGCTTTTTTCAATATGCATAATGTGTCTGAGATACATCCTTGCTGTTAGGGTGTCAATAGTTTGTTTTTTCTCACCACCGAGTAGTTTATCCGTTTACTAGCTGATGGACGTTTGGGTGGTTTCCAATTTTTGACAACATAAACAAAGCCTCTATGAACGTTCGCACAGGTTTTTGCGTGGACATATGTTTTTACTTCCCAGGGTTGTACGCTGTATGTCTCACTATACAAGAAACTGCCACATTGTTACCAGAGTAACATTTTGTGGTCCCTCTAGTTTCAAATCCTCAGCACTGGGGATTGTCAGTTTCTATAGGTGTATGGTGGTATCTCACTCTGGTTTAATTTGCGTTTCTCTGGTGACAAATGAAGGTGCAAAGCCACACGGTTAAGCACCATGGTCAGTCGGGAGGCCAAGGGAACACGGGGAAAATGTGGACAAGAGCCTTATTGTGGTTTCTGTGGCAAGGAACGGGCGAGGCAGGGTAAGCAGGCTTAGGATTGGCTATTTTGAATCATTTCAGCAAGCTGTGGGACATAGGGGCTGTCCCTAGTTGTCTGGTGGCTGGGCCTAGGATGAGTAAGGCAGAGGGACAGTGACCTGGAGTGTGAGTGCCTAATAAAGACATGGCTGGGCTGTGGGCTCTGGATTGGTTTGTTTGCATATAGAAGGTGAGTCTTTGACTATCTCTAGGAATTGGCTACCCCTGGGAGAGGCTGTCCCTCTAGGGCCAGCCAGGTGGCAGATGTCAAAGCATCAGAAATGCATGATTAATACACCCTGTCCACTTTCATATCAGGTTATCCAACCTCTTCTTCTTCACTTGTGGGAGTTCTTTATATATTCTGGCAAGTTCCTTTTCAGGTAAATGTATTACAAATATCTTTTCTCCTCCATGCCTTGCCTTTTCATTCCCTCAGGGGTGGAATTCCTTTTTTTTTTTTTAATGTGTATTTTGAGGCCCCTATGCTGGAGAAACCAACTTAAAAATTTAGCTCTGACTTCAAATAAAGAACATAAAATTTCTTACATTCCTGTAAATTCATTT